TTAGGGTTGGATTTGATATCACCACAACTGATTAAGATGATGTTTATTTGTTATTATGTCGATCTTCCATGCTTTGGACCCTTGGATTGGATTTAGATACGTGGTTTGCATTCGTGTATAGTTTTTTCATGTCGCTTGACTCTGATTTGCGGTTTGTCAGTGGGTTTTCAATAGTTTGATCCCATTTTGTGGTTAATTTGTCGAAGCATTTTGTGGATAGCTTGACTATGATTTTGCGGTTTGTCTATTCATATATACCTTTTGTTCAAGTTTATATAGTTAAGTTTTTAATCTTTTCCTTGTACGATCATTTTATAATCTTAAGTGGATAGCTTTCTTGTGTTAATAATTATAGAAAAAATATATTTATTATGTGTTTAGTTTACGTTTATAATTATAAACATTCATTACAATTTATATATTTTCTATTTTTAATAAAACTAACGTATTTATTAAAAAATTCACATATTTTCTTTAGTTAATAATTCATACATTAAACTCGTTTATAATTAAAATTAGATACATAAAACCTTTAAATATACGAAGGATTATTAAATTTTTTTTATTCACAATACTTGAGTCCAAAATCTTAACTAAAAGAATATCAACATTTTATTCTATAACCCAAATTTGTATTTTAAATCCACTTACATTATATACACAATTCATTAATTTTTTTTATAAAAATAATTGATTATATAAAACTAAATGTCAAAAATGAAAATAGAAATTTCAATAATTATTTTAGTTAATATATAATTTAAGAGATTTTAAAAAACTCACATGATCACTAAAGATCTTACAACAGGTGATTTGGTTTCACCTTACGACTACATTCTCCTCGGTTCACTTCATTTTCCCAAAAATCGCCACCAAATTCCGGACCCACTCACGCGCCCCCACCAAAATCTGCTCTCCTCCTGCCGTAAAGTTTCATTTACACCTCTTCCACTCCTCTTTCGCCACGTATTTACGGCTGCAAGGGCTTTCACGTCATTTGAATACGTCGATAATTACCGAAAATGCCCCAAATGACGTGGCTCCAAACAATTTTTCTCTTTTTTTTTTTTCAGACCTAAAGTAAAAATTTGAGGGAGTTTTACCTTGCGACACTTTAATATAAGGTTGAAATAAGGTGTTATCGGTTTTGTTATTGTTTAAATAATAAAATCGTAAAAAAATTATCTAAAATATTACTATTTTTTACTTAAAATATAATTTTTTTTAACAATTTCGATTATTTTTAGCGCCTAATAATGTTTCTGATCATTTTTTTACCGATTTTATTATTTAAACAATAACAAAATCGGTAGCGCATTTTTTAACCGTGTATTAAAGATGTCGCACGTGAGCATTTCCCGAAAAATTGTGACTTCATCTTCCTCCCTGTATGTAGGGGTGTTCATTCGGTTAATTCGGTGGCCGAACCGGCCGAACTATCATTTTCGAATTAACTGAACTTTTTTTTTCTTTAACCGTTAACCGAACCGAATTTTTTTTCAAAAATATTAACCGAACCGAATAAATTTCGGTTAATTCGGTTAATTTTCGAATTAACCGAATTTTTTTAAAATTTTATAATTTATATAAAAATTAAATATTTTATAATTCAAAAAAACAGTTTATAATTAATTTAAATAATATATAATTATAAAATAAAAATTTTATATAAATTTTTTAATTAATTAATATTGATTTAGGTTTAAAAGTTATTGAATCTTAAATTATTAATTGGGTTTTAAATGGTTTGGGTTGAGCCCATATGTTATATATAATATATTTAATATTTTTTAATTCAAAAAAACAGTTTACAACTAATTTAAATAATATATAATTATAAAATAAAAATTTTATATAAATTTTTTAATTAATTAATATTGATTTAGGTTTAAAAGTTATTAGATCTTTAATTATTAATTGGATTTTAAATGGTTTGGGTTAAGTCCATATGTTATATATAATATATTTAAAATTTAAAATTTTATTTCGGTTAATTCGGTTAATTAACCGATTTCAAACCGAATTAACCGTTAACCGAATATCCAAAAAAACCTTAACCGTTTCCCGACCGAACTAATTCGGTGGCCGACCGAATTAACCGAATTAATTCGGTTCGGTCGGTTAATTAGGTTAAAACCGAATTTTGAACACCCCTACCTGTATGCCTTGTTTGGCACACGCAAATACAAAATTTTCGCATGAATAAATAATTTCAGTTGTTAAATTATTTATTGTTATTCTTCGAAGTTTCGAGTTCGAATACTATATACGTCAGGAGTATAAGTATTCATTATTAAATGATTGAAATTTTTTAAACATATACTATATTATATTCACCTTAGAATTATAAAAGATATAAAACTTTCAAAATAATAATTTTTATGAGGATAGGCTCAGAACATTTTATATTATCTGTTCAAACTCGATCTTAAACATACTAAATATATTATTTAAATTTTTTAAAGTAATTTAAAATATAACATCTTTATGTGCTACTATACATTTTTATCCAGTATAATTTAAATTAAACCGTTATTTAAAAAATGAAATATATGAATATATAACATAATATTTTATTTTTTTATTAATATATAATAATTACAATATAATATTTATTTAAAATTTTTCTAACTAATTGATAATAAATACAAACATATCATATAGACATGATTACTCAAGAATTCTATAACTCTAAAAAATTAATACATCATTTTAATCACCGAAGTTGTTTAACAAGTTCAGTTATAACATTATATTTTAAATTAATGTTACACCAATTAAGTTTAGTTTATAATATTAATAATTTATTTATTTTTAATATAATTTAATTTATTCCTTGTTAAACTAACTAAAACTTATTTGTTCACCAAATTTTAGGTGACAGTTATTTTATTATCTCATTCAAACTTCAAATATTTTTATTATTTATATAATAATTAAAATATAAAATATATGAATAATAAATGAGAATGATTTTTGTTGACAAGTTTGATTAATAAGAGTAAAGAAAATAATAAATTATGATTATATATGAGTTTGATTAAAGAAATAATATGGAGAGAAGAAAAAGGAAGCAAATGTGCATTGGAAATGTCTTTTAATTTTCTTTTTCAACCTCTCGCGGCACAGGCGATTTCCTGCTTACTTTTTCCTTCTTTGACTCTTACCCTTTGTTTTTTAATTTAATTTTGTTTAAGCAAACCCAAAAGAACTCAAAACCCCAGATTTTCCCCTGCCGATTATCTCTTTCTTTCCTTCTTTTCCCTCCACCCTTAACTTATTCTTCTATCGGAACTCACCGCCGGTCGCCGCTTCTCTTTGATCTTTGGGTCGTCGTTGGCGCCGTCAGTCCAAGTTGAGGGGCGGACTCAGTCTTTGGTGGTTTTTTGAAGAGGGGACTGCTGGGATTTTGGTGTTGAGGTAGTGGAGATCACCTTAGATCTGCTAAAGGAATTTGTTTTTGGTTTTCGTTAGCTGTTTGGAAATGGAGAGTTGAAACGTGTTTTTTTTGGATGGTAAGCTTCGGAGGGAAAGAGGAGAGAAGTGAAGAGAAAGGAGGAGAGGTGGTAGCTGCAGATGATGAACGGAGCTCCAGAGAGCGATCGTAGAGGGTGGTGGCGTTTTGGTAATTTCCTCACATGGAATGGCAGATCTTGTTAGCTACGGTAATGCACAACGTTACATCGACCAGGTCTTCCCTTTTTCCTTTCTACTTTTCTTTTTTATAGTTGAACTTCAAGATTTTGTTTATTCTTATTTATTTTTTCTCAATTTCGTTGTTAACTTTGTTTCACTTTCGATTTTTCCCTCGAAATTTCTGATCAGTGGAAGAAACGAAGGGTAATTTGTTGGAAATTTGGATTTTCTGCTATTTTGTGGAATCGCCAAGTTTAGCATTTGGTTCCTTATTTCTAGATTTTGGGAGACTTCACTAGCCTGGAAGAATGCTTTGTTTTTTTTTGGCATCTAATTTAGGAGAATCTGGATAACTGTGTTTGAAAATGTTGAATTTTTTTATGTTATTTCTTGCTCATTAGATACTTCCGATCAATAATGGTTGACAACTTTGGTTAGTGAATTCGGAAGTTTCATGCTTTATTAGGCAGCAAATTCGAAAACTGACTTGAGGACTTAAAAGTCCCAATAGTTTTCCAATCTGATGGCCATGCTGATGTGCTTACCTTGTACAAATGATACATTGACTAATATATTATAGGGTGATGTTTATGAATAATGAACATATAAACATGTATTAGCCAGGAACGGAATGAGTGATGTTTAATTGTGCTGCCTGATGTTTCACATTTATCAACTTGTAGTTTTTAAGTGACCGTCTGGTGTTTCTTGATGTTTTTATCCTTTTGCAACTAATATTTTTTACTCTATGTAGGCATTAATATTTTTTACACTATGTAGGCATTAATAGCTTTGAAGAAGGGTGCTCAGCTTCTGAAATATGGACGCAAGGGAAAGCCTAAGTTTTGTCCATTTAGACTTTCTAATGTAAGTTTGGTTCCAACTTTTGGAACCTTTCTGTTACATTCTTTTCATGTGTGAACATTACTCTGTTATGCTTCGTTAGATGGTCTTAAGCTGAAATGTGCACAAATACTAGGGGAGGGACTTGTTAGAAAACCATGCATTAAAGTTCATTTCCTCTCATTATGTGGAAGTAGCAAGTATATTGACTCAGAGAATTACTGAAGTTGAATATGATTGCATGGTCCGTCTTACATTATTTTTTTAGATCCTTTTCTTAACATTCTTTTTTTATCCAACTAACAAATTTTTGCACTTACCAACTGTTTTCTTCTGTTTAAATTGCAGGATGAAGCATCGTTAATCTGGATTTCAAGTAGTGGTGAAAGAAGTTTAAAGTTAGCCTTAGTCTCTAAAATCATTCCTGGGCAAAGAACTGTAAGATCTTAATGGTTTTCTTGTTGCATTATGTATTTAGTATATTACTAGAAACGTGCACATCCATTATCTGGGTTGAAGCAAAAAATGTGAAAATCTTTTAGAAAAAGAAAAAGAAATAGGTACGTAGTTTGTGAAGGAGAAGTGGGTAATTTTTTCTTTGAAATATCAAAGTGCTGAAATGAACTTGATGCTGTTGTGTTAATTAAGTTCTCAAATGGTGTTCTTGGTTGAGTTGGTGTCTGGTTAAATCGGGACATCAACTCAGTCAGGGACTTTAGTATTAGTATAGATGTAGATGCTCTAATTTTAACTTTTTTTGTCCCTACATCTAGTTTCTTTCTTCTATGCTTTTTTTTCTTTTGAATTTATACTAAAATTTTGTTGTTAATGCTCAATCAGGCTGTTTTCCAGCGATATCTCCGGCCCGAGAAAGATTATTTATCCTTTTCTCTTATATACAACAACGGGAAAAGGTCACTTGATCTGGTTTGTAATGGGACTTTGATATTCTGTTTGTAGATAGATGATCAACTATTATTGATATTTTTATCCTCTTATGTGTTTCTGCTTTTGATTTAATGTTTGGTTCGCTCCTAGATTTGCAAGGACAAAGTTGAGGCCGAGGTGTGGATTGCAGGCCTTAAAGCATTGATATCCTCTGGTCAGGGTGGACGCTCCAAAATTGATGGCTGGAATGATGGAGGCCTTTACCTTGATGTAATTCCATCTCCATTTGACTTCTTTCCGCTAGTCTTTTTTGTGTTTTTTTTTTGTTTCATGAAGTGCTGTATTTAATGACTCCTGTTTGTACATGTTCAAAATACGACAAAGTTTTGCCCTTGAATTATTGGATACTCATTTATGAAGACCAAGACTATCTTTCCAGCTCTTTTTGAACAGGAATAAAGTCTTTATGTAGACAGCATTACTCGGTTGTTTGACAAATATAGGTGGTTAACTTTGTATTTAAGGTTTCATTGGTTTATTCCTTTAGTTATGGAAATTCTTTCATTTATAGGCGTAAAATTTTGTGCTTAATGTTTTTCTTTTTAATTGTATTACTGTTATAGCTACAGTTAATCAATTGTGTTTACCATAAATGTTTATCTGACTGGTTTCAGGATGGCAGAGATTTGACATCAAATAGTGCAAGTGACAGTTCTGTTAGTGCTACTCGAGATATTAGCTCCCCTGAAGTTTTTGTCAGTTTTAATCCAAACACTTCACCTAAGAGTTTACAACCTGAGAATTCTTTTCATTCTGAAAGGTTACATGCAGCATCAGAAGGCACAAATATGGATGTAAAAGGATCTAGTTCATATGCTTTTCGTGTTAGTGTTTCTAGTGCCCCAAGCACTTCTAGCCATGGTTCTGCACCGGATGATTATGATGCTTTAGGGGATGTGTATATATGGGGTGAGGTTATCTGTGATAATGCTGTGAAGGTTGTAGCTGATAAGAATGCCAATTATTTGAGCATGAGAGCGGATGTTCTTCTTCCCAGGCCTTTAGAGTGCAATGTAGTTTTAGATGTACATCATGTAGCCTGTGGGGTCAAGCATGCTGCCCTAGTTACAAGGCAAGGTGAAGTTTTTACATGGGGTGAAGAATCTGGTGGACGACTTGGCCATGGTGTTGGGAAGGATGTTATTCAACCTTATCTTGTTGAATCACTGGCTGTCACTAGTGTTGATTTTGTTGCCTGTGGTGAATTTCATACTTGTGCTGTTACAATGGCCGGGGAACTTTATACATGGGGAGATGGAACTCACAATGCCGGGCTTCTTGGTCATGGCACTGATGTCAGCCATTGGATTCCAAAGAGAATTTCAGGTCCTCTTGAGGGACTTCAAGTTGCTTCAGTAACTTGTGGTCCATGGCATACAGCTTTGATAACATCAACAGGACAGCTGTTTACTTTCGGGGATGGTACATTTGGTGTCTTGGGTCATGGTGACAGAGAAAGTGTTCCATATCCAAGAGAGGTAGAGTCTTTGTCAGGATTGAGAACAATTGCTGTGGGATGTGGAGTGTGGCATACTGCTGCCGTTGTTGAGGTTATTGTCTCCCAGTCTAGTGCTAGTGTTTCATCTGGAAAATTATTCACGTGGGGGGATGGGGACAAAAATCGTCTTGGACATGGAGACAAGGAACCTCGGCTTAAGCCTACATGCGTGCCTGCACTAATTGATTATAATTTTCACAAAGTTGCTTGTGGGCATAGCTTAACAGTTGGTTTGACCACATCAGGACAAGTTTTTACAATGGGGAGTACTGTGTATGGTCAACTTGGGATTCCCTATGCTGATGGGAAAATACCATCTTTGGTAGAGGACAAGCTTTCAGGGGAATGTGCTGAAGAAATTGCCTGTGGTGCATATCATGTAGCGGTTTTAACATCCAGTAACGAAGTCTATACATGGGGAAAAGGAGCTAATGGTAGGTTGGGGCATGGAGATGTCGAAGATCGAAAAACTCCTACCCTGGTTGAAGGTTTGAAGGATAGACATGTGAAATTTATTGCTTGTGGTTCAAACTACAGTGCTGCAATATGTCTCCATAAATGGGTATCTGGTGCTGAGCAATCTCAATGCTCAGCTTGCAGACAGGCTTTTGGTTTCACCAGAAAAAGGCATAATTGCTATAACTGCGGACTCGTGCATTGCCATTCCTGCAGTTCAAAAAAAGCACCAGGAGCAGCTTTGGCTCCTAATCCTGGGAAACCTTATCGTGTTTGTGATTCCTGTTTTGCCAAGCTGAACAAGGTTTCAGAAGCTAGTAATAACAGGAAGAATTCCGGACCTCGCCTTTCAGGAGAGAACAAGGACCGGTTGGATAAGGCTGAAATACGATTAACCAAATCTGCAACTCCTTCTAACATGGACTTGATTAAGCAGTTAGATAGCAAAGCAGCCAAACAAGGAAAAAAATCTGAAACATTCTCCTTGGTTCGATCCACTCAAGCACCTTCTTTGTTACAGTTGAAAGATGTTGTTTTGTTTAATGCTGTAGATTCGCGAAGGACACTTCCTAAACCTATTCTTACAGGATCTGGAGTAAGTTCTAGATCCGTTTCACCTTTCTCAAGGAGACCTAGCCCTCCTCGTTCTGCGACCCCAGTTCCTACAACATCTGGACTTTCATTCTCCAAAAGCATCGCTGATAGTTTGAAAAAAACAAATGAACTTTTGAACCAAGAAGCGCTTAAGTTGCGCTCACAGGTAGGAATGCTGTTACTGGTGCTTTTAATATTGTATTCTGTGGATGGGCCTTGTGGTACTGAATCAATGTAAATCTGATGATTGTGGATCTATTCCAGGTTGAGACCCTTAGAAAGAGATGTGAACTCCAGGAAGTGGAGCTTAAAAAATCAACAAAGAGAACTCAGGAAGCTATGACACTGGCTGCAGAGGAGTCTGCTAAATCTAGAGCTGCAAAAGAAGTTATAAAGTCACTGACGGCACAGGTTATCTTCAGCTTTATTGTTCTCGCTATTGTTTCTTTGAACTCTCTTTTTTGGATATCTGTTCTTATTAACTTACAAAGCAATGTTAACATCATCGTGATATGCATAATGGTTTTCCATCAAGATTAGCTTCGCAAAATAAACAATTCATTGATTCTTTTCGTTTTCTTATGTGTTAAATGTACTTTTATTTCAGTGATTATAAAATCCTTTGCATCCTCATTATGAGACTTGGTGTCACTTTGCCTGGTCAAATTTACCTATCATAATTCGTACATTTTTTTTCCATACTGTTCTCAGCTTAAGGATATGGCTGAAAGGCTGCCACCTGGAGTTTATGATACGGAGAACATCAAACCAGCATACTTGCCAAATGGCTTGGAGCCAAACGGTGTTCACTATCCAGATGCAAATGGAGAGGGGCATTTAAGATCTGATTCAATTGGTGGCTCTTTCCTTGCTTCCCCTATTGCACTTGATTCTACCACAATCAGTGGCACTAAGATCTCTGGCCAATTCCATAGGGAACCAACCGGAGCCAATGGTGGAGATGACCATTCCGTTGCAAGACTGCTCAATGGTAGCGGTAGTGTGGCGGGAGCTGTCGATGAAAGGGAATCTGGTTCTTTTGGAGATGGCGAAAATGGAATGAATTCTAGAACTTCTGCATTGGTTGCTAATGGCAATCAAGTGGAGGCTGAGTGGATTGAACAGTATGAGCCTGGAGTCTACATAACTCTTGTAGCACTGCGGGATGGAACTAGGGATCTCAAGCGAGTGCGCTTCAGGTACATTTTCTAGGTTTTTCTTTTATAAACACTAGTTTTATCTTAAATAAAACATTAACAAGATAAAAGTTAAAGAAATTAAAAAGAATAGATGAATGGAAAACCAATGATTTGTTTGATTTAACGATAGAATGAAATGTAGGATTTACCTCAGTCATCTTAAATCATTTTATGGATCTGGGATGTTAAGTAATGTTCATATATGCAGCCGGAGAAGATTTGGAGAGCACCAAGCAGAAACTTGGTGGTCGGAAAACCGTGAGAAGGTATACGAGCGGTACAATGTTAATGTATCGGTTTCTGGGCAAACAGCCCGCAGATCAGAAGGAGCTCTCTCCCCCACTTCTCAAGTGTAACAAAAAGCTTCAGCTCTCATTTTGTGTCACTGATCAGGCTATAAGGAGCATGGAAACTCCCTCGCCCCACTTTTTTTTTAACATATTTTGACACTGCCCCATCTATAATTAATTTTGTTGCATTTAATGTTCTCCTTCGCTTTCACAGATATTGTGAATTGCAGTATATATAATATCCCTCTGGCAAGAAAGGTTTTGTTCATTGCTTTCTCCATCCCCAGTTCCCTTTTAATTAGACTCAGGCAGGGTTGCTCCAAAAATTACACTTAAAAATTGAAAATTGACAATTAACCCTTGAAAGTGGACTATTAATCTTTGTTAAATTCATGTATTAGCCCTTGCATTGTGCGTAAATTATGAATCTAGTTTTTGTATATTAATTTGATTATTTTTAGTCTGGTTTTTATATTTTGGGCTTGGCTCAAATAATAAATGTTATATTTTATTATAAGTTCCTATATTATGTGTTAGTTGTG